GTTTTGATAACAATCGCCGTGCACACGGATCCGCAAACATGACCAAAAACGCTGCAGTATACATGCCAGGCCAGTAGTTGGCGGTGTGACGCTTTCGCTTCCTTCTACAGTGTGGCGATGTATAAACAAACAAACACAATGGCAACCGCACAAACGTTTGTCTGGATGGATGACGAGGTGGAGTTGCTACAGTAAATCTATACCATGATGGGGAAGTGTTGATAAATTCAATAGGGTGAGCAGCACAAGCAGAGCTCAGGAGTCCGCCATTGTTGTTGTGATGGTTGACTTTCTCGCGCATGCCTAGTGACTGGAAGTGTATTGTGCATGTGCGAAAAGTCTCCGTTTTCAGAGGAACTGCATATTGCAAGTTTACATGACAACGGAGACATTGTTGTTTCCATAAAATTGCACTCTGGAACCTGTTATCAAAACGTTGCGTTTTCAGGCATCCAAAATGCCGCTGTCGTGTAAACGATTGGCCAAAATGCAACTAAAGTTTACTGTTTTAAATAGTTGTCGTATAAACGGGACTTAACTCTAACCAAATTGTTTTTGCACCGAGACCTAATAAAAACCTTAACTATACTGGTGTCAGATTAGAAGATGCTTCCATGTGTTGTTCTAGAGAACTAATGACTTATTTGTCGTTTCATTTGATGGACTTGTTGCTTTAAAGGGTCAAAAGCCAGAAAGTTCAAAATCTTACTCAGCTTAAAGTACAAATATTGGCATTGAAAAATAAAATACAGCATTTATGCTATATGTCACATTCACACACCAGTGGCCAAGGCTACCACACAAGGTTCCATGTGCTACTCTAACATTTGGTATTCAGTATGTTGCCCTAGGATACTTCAACATGTGGACTGGACGAGCCGGGGATTGAAATGTTGATTTTTCAATTAGTGGACGACCCCATCTACCTCCTGAGCCACTGATGAATTAATGTGAACATCACTTTAATGTTGCAGCTGGTAAAGGTGGATCTTAAGTTATTTACTTTCTATACATCTTGGTAGATTAGTCCATAATATCACACCACACTTTATTAGTTGATTTGTACTTCATATTAATAATCTGAACCTGCAAAGTAACTAGGAACTAATGTTGGATAAATGTTGTGAAGTAGAATAAAGTAGAAGAAAATGAAAATATTCAAAGTACAAGTACCTCAAGGACACTACTTGAGTAAATGTACTTGTTCCTCAGCTGGAAATATTACTGTAAATGTCCTCGTCAAACAAGTCGCTGCTCCAGTGGAACTGCGAAGCGGCCAAGAGTATAACAAGTAGAGACTACAAATCTCAAAAGACATGAAGCAGATTTCTTGAGATAGATACACTGACGAAGGTTAAAAGGCACACCTCCCCATATGTGTAAGAGCTAATTTGCATACAGATGAAGAGTGTGCCCGAGTGTGCTGGAATCACTCTGGTGTTGTTCACATCAGCGTCTCTTTCCTTCAAAGGGCAGCTCCCACCTGTGAATGGACTGCATTCAGAGAGAGGGGTGGTAATTCATCTGCTGTGGTAGCGCACACACACACACACACACACACACACACACACACACACACCCAGATGGTCTCTGGAGAACGGAGACTTCCCATGTGTCCAGTTACAACATGAAAGTAACAGGGATGCAATTTAAGCACCCATCTATCCACCCTTTTAAAGATGGGTGGAGAGGTGTGGATGTATTTACAGTTGGCCATACACTGTCTCTGTAAGAATGAGCTTGATTTGAAATATGATCACAGAAAACTGAGCTGAAAACACTAGTTTGACATTTTGTCAAACGCTCACTTCTTTTATCTCTAAGAGTTAGATCAGATAATCAAATCTACTCTAGCTTTTTCCACTTGCTCTCAGTCTTTACGTTACCTGACATCACAGAACTGTCAACTTGATACACTCCATTTCCGTCTTCAGTCTGACATTGCGTTCACTCTCAATCAACACTTCAGTTTTCCTAACCAATCACTGGAGACCAATGTCTGCGCCTGAATCTATCATCATTTTAAGTCCACACTGATGTAGTCATGCCAATTTATCTGTTTTAATGGGATTTAAGAGTGGAGCTGAGCAAAGTAATACAAACTACGATGGGCGATATTGAAAAGACGTCAATTTAGAACACCCTCGATAGCAGTGTTTGTCTTGTCTATAGCGCATGCCACCATTTTTATTACTTCTAATAGGTTCCAGTGCACTGTTTGATTATGTTTGACAATGGCGTTAGTTCCACCCATGGCACTAATTGGCTAATCAAGTCCCCTTGAGGTGCTCATTGGTGAATTTTTATTTTTACCAAAGAAACCGCTGTTTCATGTATCTATGGCAAACGAGGCATTGGCATCAGTCAACTCGAACTCGGTGGAGTGGGTGGATTCAAAGGTCTGGGCCAAGGTAAGTCTTAATGCTAAGCTAGGTTGATTGCCTCTTGGTTCTCACACTTTAATTTAACAGATGAGGGTGGCATCCATAAAGAATATCCTCCAAAATACTGAAGTCTTATTTAAAGGCCTGAAAGTGGAAGAACTAAAACATCTATCTAGAATCATCGAGATCTCTTTACATTTGATGCTGCTGTGAAGTATCTGCGCAATGTCTTCATAGAAACAGCCCCTAATATTCATATAAACGTGCAACTGAACAGGTTTTGAACTGATACTGTGCATTCAACTTTACAGCTACTTGATTTCAGCAATAATATGCCAGCTGACTCATGTTTCAGAACCACCCAGCACTTCTGTCTCAGTCTTAATGTTGTTGAGGTCAAAAGCTTTACAGGAAAGTGAAATAAAAACCTGTTAAGTCTCTTATCTGATGTTTCTATAGAGTGCGTCTTTGCAAGAGTGACATTATCAGAGAAGAGTGGTTTGATACTGAAGTAGGAGGAAGGATAAGCGTGACCTGCTGTCATTTGATCCCAAGCAACATGCTCTTAAGAGAGCAGCAGATGTGTGGTGTAAACATTTGAAAAGAGAAAAGATATAAGGTGAAAGTGATATAGAAATATTCAAGCTTGACAAAAATATAAGGAAATCTAGCCACAGTGTGAATTTAAAGAGTTTTTAAAGTCATTTTTGTCTTCGGAGCAATGACTGAATGAAAATGTTCCTCCGCTGACTCACCTTAGATAAAATCATCTGAACACAGTTTAACTTCTTTTATTTGTGAGAGCCCTGTTTTCACTTCTGGGACACCATCAATCAAGATGCCCATCAAGATCCGATCTGCCGAATTTGCATTTACTTTGGCTTATCTCTAATCAGGATGTGTTTGTTCAGGAGAGATGATGTGTATGAACTGGCTGCATTAAGGCTGCTGACAGATTTATGCAAGCAGCACATAAAGTGCTGTGTATTTCACATCAACCTGCTGATGTCTGTATTTTCAGTTTCTTGTGTAACAGAAGTCGATTTTTTCACCACTTCATGCAGACATTACTTTAAATCCCCCAGCAGTGTACAAACATCTAACAGTTTGGTAACATTTTATATTACTATACTCATATTTAACATTATCTAGTTGCTCATTAGCATGTTTATTAGCAGCATATTGGCTCTTTATTAGTCATTTTAAAGCACCAATTAATGCCTTATTATGCATGATCATCCTCTACAACTAATAGGCCGTTAACTAATAGTTTCATATTTTCGTAATGTTTTAATAAGTGTTGTATAATGACTCATAAGGAACCACTATGCTACGAATATGCATGTTAATAAGCAACTCTTTAATGGTGAATGTGTATTCCTTCATATAAAGCGTTACTAATAGTTGATAACACACTGTAAAGTTGTAAGAAGATATAAGGATAACTGTTTATTAATGCACATTATTTGACAGTGAGTATAGCCTATAACAACATATTATATGTTGTATTTTAACAACTGTGTGTCACTATATTGTTGTTCATTATCTGTTTACAGAAGCCGCTACACGTGGATGCCCACAGGAAGAGTTGTAAGCAGACACTTATATCTGTGTACAGCTGCATTATAAACCAATTATTAAATGTTTATCTGCTCTTGGGCCTGAAGTAAAGCATTGAGAAATTAGGATATTCCTATATTAATTAGGGGACATGTCAAAGGCTCAAAATAATCGTGGCCAATTTCTTAAGGCCCTGACACACCAAGCTGATGGTTGGATGTCAATCAGTGTTGGGTCATCGGTTATTGTCTCTTGCCCTAGTCAGTGTGGTGTGTCCCGCACTGTTGCCCCTTGTTGGCCCTAGTCTGCTTTTTTTGACTGTTTGAACATGTTGACAGGCGTTGGTGACAGCGGCGCTCATCAGTGAATGAACTCTGATCGGCCGTTCAGCTCAGTGCACGGGAGGAGAAACAGAAGTGAGGAAAGTAAACAAAGAGCTAAATTAAGAGCGAGTGAGGCTAAAACAAACTTGTTACATAACGTAATATTATTTTTCTTTAGCAGAAATGTTTTGTGGTGGGCTGATACTGTTCACTGGTGCATCGTAAATATACTTTGTTCTTTCAGCTCTGGATTATGTTGTTAATGTGCTAACTGGCTAACTAGCATCAAGACGGTCTTCTGGTTTCCCTTATAATACAGGCTACCACCGTCTGCTGGTGTGAAGAGTTATTTCTTCTCATGCAGGTGCAGAATGTGCATGTGGGTTGACCATCGGTTGTAGTCTTTGCGGTGTGTTCATGTACAACTTTTTGGCCAAGACACAGTGACGTCAGACGATGCAGTAGGGGGCCTTCGTGGCCACTTATTCTCTGAAGTCAGTTTGGTGTGTCTGGGCATTAAGTCAACACAATGACACTTCTGAACCTATTAAATACTTAACAGTTTTTGGAAGAAATTTGAAAGTGGGCAATTAATTGTTAAGGAACAGAAATTCTATAGTGTCTCCAAAAACATTGTGCAAAGTGAATTTCTATTTTTCGTATTCTGTAGTAATTCTGACATTCTCCTATGAGTAAACTTGAAAAGTGACTCAATAATTACAGGACAAAAAAAGACATTTCGGGCATCAAACCCATTTTATTTCAACTTAATGCAGTTTAATCCAACACAGTTAGTGCACATGCAAAGTATCATATTTAAATATATATTGTATGTTTGTACCAAGTGTCATGTTTTAAAAGTTGTAATATTTCAACATTTAGGTAATAAATTAACAAAATTGAAACATTACTGAAAACACTGCCCACAATGAGTATACACTTTTAATAAAGCATAAAATACATGATAAATTCGTGAAACTGCAATGTTTGTGTTTGTACTTTTTTTTTTCTCAGAAATAATTTTTTTTTAAATAAAAATTCAGTGAAAGACACCAGAAATAAAAAAGAAAAAGAAATCACAATTTGACAAATTTCTTTATGTCTCTACCATGAAAAAAATCATAATACTTCTTTCACTTAAAGGTATTATGTGTAGGATTTTCACTAAATATCACACTACGCAACAGAATAACATGTGCTACACTTTAAAGTCACTATGAACTGCTTAATAGCAGCAAATCTGATTATCTTCCCTTTGTTGCCTCTGAATATTCAGCTACCGGTCTGCCAATGACGAAGCAAACTTGACCGACTTCATCCAAAAATCAAAGGTGCCTTTTCCAACAAACAAAGGAGTATAGTAGTAGATCACCAGAGGTAATGTTTGAACTGTCACATCCGTGGTCCCAGTTATACTTTAACAGTAATTAGAGAATACTACACATAGCACCTTTAAAAACATGATTCATTGTTGCTCAGCTAATGATCATTGAAAACACGGTAAGAACAAAACATTAACAGAAGACAAAAAAAGAAAAACGATCACAGTTGAAGAAGCAACTACAGCGTAGCCATGGGGGTATGTCTATAAAAGTCTGGTACCGATGAATTAAGTATTCTGTCACAGAGAACCACTGAGTGTTAACGTTTCTGACTTGTTGCTGAGAATTTGATATGTCAGCGCCTTAGAAGCAAGCAAACGGACACAAAATATTTTCATTATGTGCCTGAGTGATGGAGGTAGAAATGTCCAATGCTGGGCTAATGGTTAAAATCCAGCATAGGCAAGAATGAATAATACAACCATTTACCCACCTCATATATTAGAGTTTTATTTAGTAGAAGTAGCATATGGCTTAACAGAGGCACAGTCTGCAACCTCACTGTGGACTGTCAAAGGTGCATTTACGTTTGTCGTAGAGGGGAAGGTCCGGCTTGTCGCGGTGGGAGACTTAAAGGAAAAGTTAAACATTTTCTTGAGTTAGATGAGAAAATTGAAACAACTCCTATGGCTGTACAGGTAATATGAAGATGCAGCCAGCAGCTGGTTAGCTTTGCTTAGCACAGAGACTGGAAACCAAGTGGCAACCTCCGGGGCTGAAAAATGAAGCCAACATGGAAGCACAGAAAAAAGTTGATCCCCATAGACCCCTGTGTTAAAGTGCCCAACTTTAGCGCAGAAATAAATGCGTTTACAGCCTGGTACAAAAAACAACTTGGTCTCTATAGTTATTTTACCTCTTCACTGTTTTGTCTTTCCATTGATGCGAGAAGCCGCTGGCCCCCAGGTATTTTCATATTATCTAATCTGGCCCCCATAAGTACATTTTGTTTTAATGTCTTTAAGCCTGTTTTTCACCCAAGAAAATTAGCATTAGCATTATCACAGTTAACCACAGATTGTAAATGCACAGTGCTAATCAAGCGAACACCTAACATTAGGGTTAGCTCCAGGGTTAGCTTCTGGTTCCAAAAATCCAAGATGGTGATGGTCAAAATACCAAACTTGAGGCTTCAAAACAAGAGTCCACAAATCAATGGGAAATGCCTTGATGACTACGTCCACTGTTTTTATACACTCTTTGCTGGAAACCAGGAAACAGCTAGCCAAATATAACAGCTTAAGTTCACTAATTAACACATTGTTTCTTTGTTTAATCCGTACAAAAAACTAACAGGGATTGTTTATGGAACAATTGCTTACTCAGGAGCAGTCAACAGGCAACCAGAGCTATTACTGGTCCCAGCCAAGAAACAGCCTGCTATTGACCCCCTGTAAATTTCTTTCTACAGAGTTTAAGATACAATGTGTTATTTACTGAGCTCTGAAGGTGTCATTAGGCAAATTTTGTTACCTTTTGACAGAGCCAGGTTAGCAGTCCTGTTTACAGTCTTTATGCTAAGCTAAATTAGCTAGCTTCTGGCTGTAGCTTCATATTTATTGCACAGATGCATGGGTGGTATCAATCTGCTCATCTAACTCTAAGCAAAAAGGGAAATTAGGGTATTTTCTAAAATGTCAAACTTTTCCTTTAAGTCCTCCAAGAACACTGTCACTCACCAGTGTTACCAACCTTTATATGGCTTCAATTAGAATAAAGTCAACACTATGAGAGTGCAGTTTGGCTTTAAACTGAAATTTTAGCATTTTACGCAGAAAACACGCAAGTTTTAAATAAATGAGATTAAAAAAACATAGCCTGTTACATGCGAATAGCTTATAAAACTAATAAAAAGTGATAAGTATAAAATAGACTGCAGGTCAACTTGTGAGTTTTAGCTCCACAGACTGAAGAAGAAAATACAGACCTATATAATTTTCCATCATATTTTTTAACTGCCTATATAGAGAAGCTGGCTGAACCAGCTGGACCTGAAGTGCTGCCACTCTCGTCGTGTTTCATTTGGCAACCGAATTCTCTTCAACAATCAAGCTCAAATCAAACATCTTGAGACGTTAGGCTTGATCCCTCCCACTCGCAGCTGCTATCTATTTTAGTTGATGCCACTTTTGTTATGTCAATCATTAAAGGCCGCTGTATGTCCTCAGTCGGGTTCAATACACGCACTAGACTTTCAGATAATAGCCAGAGGAAAGGTGTGCAGAAATATGTACTGGTGTTGGCTTGCCGGCTGATACCACCCACAGTGACAAGCCTATGGAGAAGGCAAAGAAAAGCCTTGTGTGTGTTGATGGTTACTTTCCTGAAAAGAAAAAATACTTTCAGCCAAAGTGGCAGTTCTCCACATTTGACAGGCACATAAAGTTACAGACTGGCCTTAAAAGTTGAATGGCTTTGTTTGTCACATAGAAGTTGGCCTCATTTCAGCAAACTGAGATGATATTTTAATACACAGAGGAATATCTTTTTTTTTTTTTTTGTTTTTTTGAATGACTATGGCTAAACCGTTTAAAATGTGGGCGACAGGTTTTGTAATGAGTTATTCCAAGACAAAAAGTGACCATTTTCATTATTATCATGTGTTCATCTCATCCTCAACAAGAACAAGACGATGGAAAACTGTGAGCACCATTGGAAATCTTTCAGTGAGGTTCTCCATTAAACTTGACAAGTGTTGACAGATCCATTTAGACCTTATTCAACTGAAGACTTAAGAAAAAATTGACCCTGTTTACATGAATACTAAGATTCCTCTATTATTCCGAAAACGACAATATTCTGAATTTGATACCGGTCATGTAAACAGCATATTCCAGTTTTCTGAACTAGGCCTTTTTTCAAATGAAGATTTCCTGTGGAATATGCTGGTAGTATTCCAGTGGGCGGCACGGTGGTGCTGTGGTTAGCATTGTCGCATCACAGCAAGAGGGTTCCTGGTTCGAACCCAGAGTGGGGAGTTCCAGAACCCAGAGTGGGGGGTTCGAACCCAGGGTGGGGTAGCCCTTCTGTGGGTACTCCGGAGTGGGTCTCTGGGTTCTTCGACTTCCTCCCACAATCCAAAGACATGCAAGTTAGGTTAATTGGTGACCCTAAAATGGCCGCAGGTGTGAACGTGAGCGTGACTGGTTGTCTGCAACAGTCTGGTGACCTGTCAAGGATGTACCCTGCCTCTTGCCCAATGTCAGCTGGCACAGGCTCCAGCCTATTCTTTGGACAGATTCATAATATGCGTCTCAATTGGGGTTTTTACTGAAGTTTGCAACACACGGCCTCTCGCCTGTTTCTGTGCAGCTCTATGGGTTGCCATGGATATGCTGTGGGCAAACCAACTCGCCAACAGTTTGCACAACTGTTGGGTATAGGTGCATGCCCCAAAGTAAAGCCCACATTTCTGGTCAGAGGGGGAAACACACCTACTTCTAAACATTATTAAAGACTTAGATTTCAACAGGTTTTTGGATATGCGCAAATATTGCAACACCAACTGTTTCAAGAAGGTGGTTGATGGAATAAAAGACAGCTTATCCATTTTTCCATATTTTGATGTGACAGAGAACATGCTAGGGCACATTAATCGGAGTGTGCGTGACTGCATGTGAAAGGGAATATTAGTGGTCTATTCTTTTTCATTAGTCATGAAAACAGGTTAGTAGGTATATTGTCATTTTTGGAAAAAGGGCAAAGACCCGGAATATTTATGCAGGTACACGTAGTCAATGTCACATGGAAGACGATGGAGGAAATAAGAAGGGTGAGGGATCTAATGAGGATAAGGTGCCAGATAGCTTTCTAAAAGCTAAATGATAAGAAACTTATTTCAGGCTATTATGGTGGCTGGTTATCACAATGTAAAATATAGTGAAGAAAATATTGTTAAAAAGCCCTGCACTACAACCCAAGCTTTTAGCCCACGCTACACATAACACTAACAAGTTGTCCAGTGGTCATTCCATGGTTTTCCAAAGGTGCTTTCCACATTTTTCCAAACTTGTTAAAATAGATACATCCTGTATTTTTATATGTTTGAAATTTTGGATTTGAATTGAGCAAATGAGAGTTATCTTTCTTTTTCCAATATAAAAATCAACAAAATCAAAAGAATTCAAGCAGTTTGAGCAAACCGTACAATCCTACATCAAGGGATGATCTTGGATGGACCCAAGGATTAAGAAGCTCAATGACTGGGCGTAGGGGGAGCTAAATATGGCTTCAGGGTTCTGCATATATTCCTACACAGTCTGGGTGTAAATATTTGACTCACTGTGTGGTGCATACTAAGTTTGCTTGAATCAAATTCTCTTCACTTTGTTTGTGCAGATAAAAACGATGCATTTAGAGCTTAAGCGGCACCAGATAACCGTGAGATGCCTGAAACTGATGCTGAAGTACACACACCTAACAGATAAATAAAAAAAGACAAAAATCACAAGGTTTTATGGGTAAAAGAAGACAAATGTTCACATTTGATTGTCAGCTGTTCTTCGGGTTCAAAAAACCCAAAAGAACAAAAATAAATCCTGGACTGATGATCATATTCACTGGAGTATTTCTTCGTTTTCACATTTATTTTTTGTGTTTGTTTGATTTTACTTTAACGCCGTCAGTATGTTCAACATGTTATTAACGTTGCACTTAAAACTCTTACAAATAACTAACTCACAGTAATTTGTAATTTCATTTTGTAGTCAACAAAACCACCAAGTTATTCAGGCAGGTCTTTTTTTTTTCTTTTTTTTTTAAATAACTGTTAAATTTCAGTCACTTCATCTTGTCATGTTTTCCACCCTCCAAACTACAAACAAAGGCGTAGTTCTCTTGTTATCTAACTGTATAAATCATGAGATGTGTTGTCTTTTTTTAAGTGAGCAGTAATTTTCTAAAAACACTATTGTTTTTGCAGGACTTGCATATTTTTAAGAAAACTACAAGTTGGGGGAATTTCTTCTTTTTCACACGTTAGTTAATATATGAAGTACCAGCCCTTTTAGAATGAAGAAAAATACTAACACATAGTAAGAACCTTGTTGCCTCTAAGCTCCAAGTGATTTTGAAATATAATAAAATGCTGGTCATCGTCACATTCAGAGATCCACCCTGAACCTGACCGAACGTTTGACTATTTGGACCTGAGATTTTGGCAAACTACTGTTTGTGAGATTAGATTTGTGTGTTAATGACTATCCAAAGTTTACTTCACAGATTCACTCCGAAATGGATTATGACCAAAGGCAATCTTTTAGATGGTTCAAGTCATTTTAAATATGCTCTGACACCCGCATCATTGTGTTCAAAATGTAATCTTGACATGCCGGGTATAAAGTGAACTCTCTAGAGATGAATTTGATCGTGATGAAACTGATAAAAAATAGAGGATTTAGCCTTTATATAGTCTTCTCTACTGTATTTCCAGTGTGTCTTTATCTCAGGAACAAAACATGCAACAGAGTAAAAAGACTTCCTTCAAAACAAAAGCTAAATCGAAGCTATTCACTGACATGTTACAGCACAAGTATCTGTAACTCAGAGCAGGATTGTGCTTGAAAACACCTAAAACTGAGATTAGGCCCTCTGTGCAGGGGAAGGTAGATGTATGCTTTGTCTGTGGTGTGAACACCTAACTCACATTTCCACTTTTTTGTAGAAGAAAAAAAGTCTGTTAATATGTCCACTGGTTTGACTTTATGAAGATTTTCAAGCAGAGTTGCTTTCAGTGACTGAGTGATTGTTTAGACTGGGGTACTATGATAAGTATTGCTTAAAGGCTGTGGATCAGACAAATTAACTGAGGCATGCTTGAACAAGTGGTGGTTAAAACACACCTCACACCTCAATCATTACAAGGCCCCACCATTGACTAGCATAGTTTTTGCATTACTGGATCATGGATTAAAGGAATACTCCACTGTTTTTTTAATTTATCTCTATAACTTTAATGGTTCAAGTCATGACGGGTACAAAAAATTGTCGCCATTGTTAATGTAACGTGTATTGTTTATAATAGATGGAAAATTATGCTAGCATACTTTGTCAGGCAAGTAGAAAAGTTTGCATGAACTCCAATGCATATATCAGGCCCTCCAGGATGTTGCAATCTCAGCCAATCCCCATGAATTCTGCTCCAGCTTGCAACCTCGTCCAATCACAGCAAATTTACTGCAAATTAAGTATTTAAAATGCATAAAATCTCATTATAGAGCTGCAAAGCATATTGAGTCGCTCAGCGTCTCCTTGCCCCATTTTCCTACTGTCTCTTACTCTCTATTTATCATCAGATTGCTGCTGCAGGAGTGTGAGCTCTGTGCCTGGGTTGTAGGTAACAGACACACAGTGACAGGGCTAACATTAGCATCACATGGCTGACATTACGGTTCTGTTTTTTTTTTAACGGGTTTAATGACAGAGTTGAGCTATTTTGGTGTTGGTCTAAGATTGCTGGGACTCTTTTACTGCTTGGTGTTGGATGTTAGCCACTGCTGCTTTGTTAGCTCGTGTTAGCTGGGCAGAGAGAGCAGGAGACCAGCTCACTACGACAGTCCTTCAACGCCGCATTGGACGGCTGCATCAGCTGATCTGTGGGAACCACTGAATGCTCATAGGCTCTAAATCTGAGACAGTATCGCAACTATTTTTAGAATTTTACCTGCCTCTGCAATTCATCGCAAAATTAAACATTAAACATTGCGACATGCATCACAATTTTTGTTAGAAAAGCTACTGTGAAATCAGGCATTTCAGGCTGCAAGAATCCCCAAAAAATATTTACTTTAGCATGCTAAAATGTTAGCAAACCAAGGCTAACCAAGGGCACATGGCTGGTTAGCATCACAGAGTTTGTAATGAATGTTGGGTGTTTGAGAATCCTTGGAACAAGCTGGAATTTGACTGTCGGCAGAGTGTTAAATGGCTCTTTCTCAGCCAATATCAGATGTGTTTGAAATACTTTTTTGTATTTTATAAATGCTGGTGACATTCAAGAGCCTACACTAAAAACAGTGGAGTATTCCTTTAATCAAGGGCAGGCAAATGAAATCAGTGATATGCAGCCATTTATAACAGACGGCACAATAAATAAAATCAACAGACTTTAAAAAAAAAAGTATCAAGAAGAGAAAAATGTGCCAGTGACAACCAGCTATGGCAAATTAGTTTTTAGGAAAAATATTAAGACCACATGAAACTCAAAAAGGTAAACAGGACAAAACTTAAAGATACCCGTTGGCAACAAGACAAGGGGCCCACCTTTCATCATGTACCAATAAGCAAAAAAGGCAATACAGGATGAAGAGCCATGAGGGGAGGAGTGGATGTGCTGGGCCAGTGTTTGATTTAATTTGGAATACATGGTATAAAGAGGGTTTATTTAATACTAGTTACACGTTGGTGGAGATCTTGTACTTGGGAGACATGTTATTATGGAACCAGATGAAACTAAAAATGACACCCATGGTTTTGGGTATACGCTCGTCGTAAGCAAACGTCATGGCCTCGTGCAGCGGGACTTTGACCACCTCGATAAGCTCTCCCTCCCGTGGCTCACCTCCGCCTGCGCTCACGCAGTTGTCGTCAGACACCTCGGCGTAAAACATGGTCTGCTTGGACCCCGTTACACCTACGCCTGACCTGTAGGTGAGGATAAGGGAGAGAAAAAATAAACTGGTATTTTTTGCCCAAAAGATGAAGACATACTGCTGCACCCAATCTTGATACGGAGACGAATGAAAGCTGTACAGCTCATTCTTTGAATGCTGGTTATAAGCAACATACATGAACACTAGTATTTTCTAGGCATTTCTTAGCCATTTAAGCCCAACAGACCTTGTGCTGTCTACTATTAGCACAGAGCTTCACCACACCATGCGCCTCTGTCAGAAACACCCTCATAGGGGTCCTGAGGGTTAAGATGATACCTATCTATTTAATGGAAGCAGCCCACACATAACAATGGTCATAGACAACACCAACAGAGTCACAGGAGGCGTTCAAGTCAAATCAAAAGCACAGTTATGAGAGCTGTCAGTCAAAGCTGTCCAGGTGCTGCTGTTTAATGTGGGACTGCTCATCTCCTAAAACTTTAAACTTCTGTATCAAGACAGTGAGCTAATAATCTGTTGACAAAGATGGATGATTCCCCTGAAGCTTCTTTCTAACTCACTAACATAACCTCAGGGTTTGTAGTTGCTCTTCTTCAGTCCAATGTGTTATCATTATGGCACTTTCTCTAAAAGTCACCAACTCTAGGTTACATTTTTGATTCTTAATATTTTTCAACCAAACTAATTTTTCAAACTGGACTCATGAAAATGCATACTTTCCTTCAGGGTGCACCAGATTGTGTGAATCTGTGCTCTGAGAGTGTGATGCTCTGAATAACTGAACGGTGGATACTCGATGAGCAGTTCAGCTCCAAACATAGACTAGAATTACCACTTTGCAGTTGTATGCCTCTGCAAACCAGTCAAGTTGCAGTTACAGTTTACATCCATGTCTGTGAATACACGGACGCCTCATATACATCTTCCCCCTGGCAGCACACGTGATCTATACAATCAGCACAGTTTCAAGGTCCACACCCAAATTTGAAGAAAGTCTCTCATAGTGTTATTGAGATATGGCGTTCACAAGAATGGGACAGATGGACAGACAGATAACCTGAAAACATAATGCCTCCGACCACGGTTATCACCAGAGCAGAGGCATGAAAACCAAAATGTATGAATGCTGATATCGGGGCAGGCCACCACGAATAAATGATTGTGTGGGAAACACTGCAATAAATCCAGATAAAGAAGCAAAGCTGAAAATGTGGGGTGTTTCTGAGGCTCAGGGAGGTCTGGAAATTAAAAATTAAAATGATATCAAATAGGACAGCAGGATATTAACTGTTAGGGGATGAAAAATCCAGTGGGGGTGACTAAAGCAGATATTAATAAGACAATGAAAAACATGAAAACCTTCTTTCTGTTGGGAATATACAGGTTTTAAGTAAAAGGTCTTCATCAAGTTTATTCACAAAACTTCAGTACACACAAATGTGTGCGGTCAGCTCACCTGTAGGAAGTAATCCTCTTCAGTTTAGATGCAGGCACATCGTAGCCGCACTCCTCCAGCACCTCCTGCCGGGCGATCTCCTCCAGAGATAGGTCAGGTTTGTCCACCAGCCCGGCGCAGAGCTCGTAGGTGACCCCCGCCGAGGCCGGGGGCCACTGAGAAGAGCTCTCCCCCTCTGAGGCCGACTGGCCCTCCTGCGACTCGGGGGCAGGGGCGGCAGCTTCGGTGGCGCCCTCCTCGCTTTTTTCAGCAGACTGAGGCGGCTGCATCTTGGTCCTTTCCCACTCACACATGTATACAGCTGGTGGTGGAGAAGACAGAGAATGTCGAACCTGACATTTTTGCATACTTTTCTCTAATCCTTTTTGTCTAACATGTTAACACGTCTATTTTTTAAAGTAATAAACTTAAAAGTAAGAATATGTTTTACAGCTACTACCAGCAGCTCCTCAACATTAAGGACTGGCTGCTGTTTTTTTTTTTTTGCTTCATATCATTCTGAATTCAGTTTTTTGTGGTTTTGGACTATTGGTGACATACAACGTTATTTGAATATAATGAACCCAATTCTATGGAAATGTGTGCTGGGCATTTTTCACTATTTTTGGATATTCTATAGACTATAATTAATCAATTAAATGGAAAAATAATTGACAAATTAACACCTGCTGTAACAGTCGTTATTTGTAGCCCCATAGGATGCATGTTAATCCTTGAAAGCTTCCATGCAGTTAAAATGCTGATTTTAACACTGTTAATTTAATTGTAAATATGGACTGGGAAATTCAAATGTTAAGCCAATGCAATATAATATTCAGATATAATAATCTGGATTTTAAATCAGTACAATATAAAGGTTTTATAATAGAGGCACCCTGCCACACCTGAAATAAGGAGTGCCTCTGCTAACCCCAACATAAACTATTACATTATTATGAAACATAATCAATTTCCTGAATGAAACCCTTTATTGACCCTGAACAACAAACATATTTCTAAACATTTATTGTCTGATACCATAAGCAGACCAACATATCGCACACTCCCAGTAGCTTGTAGACAAACTCTGATTTCTTTCAGATAAAGGAGTTTTTTTGAAATGAGAGAGGAGAGGAAAAAAATATATCAATGCCCAGACTTCCTTGAATTTAGCACAGTGTGGTGTGGAACAGTCCCTGGCGACTTCCGCCAAAGGAGGTTAGGGCTGCTTTGTAATGGGGCCTCTTGCGGTCTATTTATGAGCCTGCATTGTTACTGAGATCCAGTAGAATAAACAGGGATTGTAATGTACTGCTTTTTTAGTGAAAGTGCCCACAGGATATATATAACAATCTAGATCTCGCTGAGTGACAAGAGGAAAATGAATTAACTCGACTGCAGAGTGCAGTTAGTCTCCTGCTTGGTGCGGTGGAAACTTACCTGGACGGAACTGCTTGACGAGGACAAAACAGTGTGAGCTGGTGTTGAAGATCAGGACTGATACACTGAAGGGAAAGAGACAAAAAGGCAAGTTTAAGTAAAATCAGACAACTTCTTTTTGACACTGAATGTTCCTACTGATCTGGTTTTATCTTTCAGCATATAGAAGAATGTGGCTCCAGGAGAGCAGTTGGTCATGGCTGGATCAGCTTTTTAAAAACCACCACTTATCAGAGAAAAGGCAGTCAGGGGTTAATATATTTAAAGGAGTGTCCAACATTTCGGGACGGTGGGTCCACAAGTGTTCTAGGCATGTAAATCTCCTTGATACGATCAACATGACAAAATAATGTAACACAAAAATCACTCTGGGAAACAACAAGAACGAGTCCCTTTAACAAAAATGGTAAGTATCTGAATTATTAGGACGAATGGACACGCTAACCACTTATTAACTGACCTCTCATCCAATCAGAGTGCCATATTACCGCCTAGTTTATCTTTCTATTGGACAATTCCTGTTGGACAGTAAGTATAAGGGCAGATATCGTCCTAAAACTGAAGTGGATGCATTTGTACAGTATGTCTATACCACATAGGATGTCTGCATACACAAGGCTGCTCACCGTGTGTCGGTATACATGGTATGCAAACAGTCCACAGCGTCTTAAGTGCTATATCACAGCCAACTGGACTTGCTTGATTTTCATGAAGATGGTTCACTTCGGTTTGGTGAAATGTCTTCAAGAAAATCAAGCAAGTCTAGTTGGCTGTGATATAGCACTTAAGCTTACCATGACCTGGATGACTGAGAATCTCCACCAACAAGTCCATAGTGTCTTAAATTTTGGGCTGAATGTGGACTATCCATACAAACCCCTGGACATTGGAAGAAGAAATTCACACGGACCCTTGCGGTCAAGCAGATGCTGGCAACATAATTTGGGCTTAAAATGTGGATTAAAAATATGGTTAAAGTCTGAATCAACTACCTGAAATGAAAGCATACACAAGAGACTGAATTCTAACAACCATTTGAAAAAATAAAGGGAAAGATAGTGGCTTAAGACACATGTCAATACACTCATGTCTGTTGTTTTTAATGCTACCCATTACTCCGTCCGCATCCTTTATTGAGATACACAATTTTCCTATTCCTCAGCAATGCAAGGAGAATCCAGGCTACCGTACCGAAGCTTTCTGTATGACACATCTAGTTTGCACACTAAAACTCTTTTCCTTTTGTTCGCTAAATTCTAAAAGAAATGCATTACAGTCTTTGAAACTTTATTTTAATAAAATCAATGCTAAGTGCCAAACGAAAACGAAACTAAAACACTCCTGTGAATTGAGAGGGCCACATTTAAACGATGACATTCAACAAGCAGGATGTAGAGATAAAATAAGAAGGAAGGTCACTATGATATGCTTCACCACTGGCACTCAATCAGCTGTAAACACACAGGTGGTTCATTGCTCTGTGTGTGTGTGTGTGTGTGTCTGTGTGTGTCTGTGAGTGTGAGTGTGAGTGTGAGTATGTGAGCGTGACTGTCGCTGCCAGTGGAGACTTGAGGCCTGGGGTCGGTGTTGGGAAAGCGGATGTGTCTGAGGCGGCAGGAAGCCCTGCCCTGTCTTTCCCATGGTGAGAGGGAACCAGGACGCTGCTATTACAACTGGTTTCTGCAGCGCCTGGGTTGATACTGATTTAATATCCGTTTGCAATACCAATATTTAAATGTAAAGTCCAAAGCCTGTTTTCAACAATATGTAGGCATGTTAGCTGACCTGGCATTTTAAGGCTAAAATGAAAAAGTGCCCAGAAACTTACAGTGGGGTTACAGTTATGCTGTTGGAAACTGAGGTTCGAGTAAACACAAGTGGACAGTCAGACAGGTACTAAACAAGCTACCACTTTATTTGGAGGTAAAAGACTGACAATTCCGAAGCACCAACCTCCGGGCCGAAATATAAAGCCAACGCAAAAGTGCCAAAAACTGCAGTTCCTAAAATAGCCACATGAGGCTGGCTCCAAAACAGAATAGATCCCCATCCACACCAATGTTAAGTGCCCCACTTTACAGCAGAAATAAATACGTTTACAGCCTGGTACAAAAAACAGTGTTGATCTCTATAGCTAATTTCAACCTTCATGACAACTGTACAGGAGGTGATTTTTTTTATACAACTCACCCATTGTCATTTCACTGAAGCTTAAAGTTACACATAGTTAAGGGCAGAGCTGCTTGAGAGACAGGCTGTGTGCAAGGCATCAATATAGTCTATAGCTGCATTTCCACCAAACACTTTCAATACAGTACCCTCAGTACCTAAACCTTTTTGCGTTTAGGCTGCAGACAGTACTGTTAATGTAAGCGAAGTTGATACCAGATGATAGCTGCGTCACTGCTCTGTCCAGCACTCACTGTATTTACTCTTCACCGACATTGTCTGCAACTCACTGATCATCCCAGAACAGGGCTGGACGACATTTCCAGTACAAAAAAAGAACGAACTGGAGTATTTAGAGCCCCGGTGTAGTGCTGGAATGACACTCTGCTGCTTTTTTTCTCCATGTGAGGAAATACAGCATCTGCAGTTTACATAAACCAGTTGAAATTCACATATATTTTTAAGTGCTTAAAGATCCAATCATCACTAAAGAGAATGACATGCAAGAGAGCCATTCAAAATAGATGCAATGGTCAGAGTTATCATGTTGATATTTAAGGTGTGTTTGATTTATGATGTCAAGTCATGCAGTGAGTAACATGCAAGAAAGTATTCTACTTTAAAAGTTGCCGGTAGCTGCCGGCAGTTTGAGCAACATGGTACATAAAAAATGCCAAACTCTAGGCATCAAAATGGGAGTCTACAAACCACTGGGTGATACCACAGATGCTACGTTCATTATTTTAATACATTATATGATAATTCCTCACTGCAGGGACGTTCATGACAGTTTGGGTAATAATACAACCGTTCAGCTTTGATTTTACTTCCAAATAAATTTGATTTAACTTGCTATTTGTCAGAAACTCTCGTCACATTTGTTTGCTGGACCTTTCTTTTGCTTCACTGTTGCAGAAGTAAAAAAAATCTCAGCAATTTACTGAGTGAGTTTAGTGATATTATTGGTGATAGAACCGATGACCAGAGCTATGAAAAAACAACAATGACAAAAAGTCAAAATATGCCAGCTAAAAGACACATTATTGATTTGTGGCCCCGACAACAGCTTCTCGATGTGTGATAAGAAAACATCATTTGTGTCTCAGCTGCTGATTAAAAAGCCTCCATGTTAAAGGCCTCAAATCTGGGCCAAGGCAGCTATAGTAACCTCTGCCACTTGTTCATCCACTTCCTTCCTCCATCACTCCTTTCTTGACTCTCATCTCCTTGACAGAGAGGACACAGAGCATTTTTTTAAACTTCCTTCTTCCTTGGAAATTGAACAGAGCTTGACTCATCACTCCATCAATGTCTTCGTCTTTAATCCACAGATCATGTTGATAAATGCAAAGGAGAATAGCCATCAAAACTTAAACAGTTCTTCAGCAAGTAGGCTATGTACCAAACATCTGAGAAATGAAAATCCAGTACTGATATTAGTGGAAGCCTACAGCTGTAAAAGATCTTGTGGGGGGATATCGTCACAGAGAACAAGTATGAATGAGATAATGTGGTAGATCTGGGCTAAAAGTGGGACACCAGGGCCTGAGGCTTGAGAGCGGTCCCCTGGGGCAGGTCTGGGTCTTGTAGTGCTGTTCCACACCATTACTGCTGTTCTACAGCTTTTCACTGAAGAAAAATGCTCTAATGGTTAAACCAAGAAGCAGGCTAAACGGACGCTCAGGACTTTTCATGCACCGTTAAGCTTTCTCTGCGGGGCTCCTGGCTGGGCAGTGGGAAAACTGGGTTATGGCAGACAGAGGAGCAGGACTTAAGGTGACTACTGGGTGTGCTGTAAGGCTTATGGTATCAAGACACTATCATCAGCTCTTACGAGGGAATAACTGGGTTATGTGCCAATTAAATTTACTTTAAGTTCTGTAAACTTCTGTTAATTGAGATACAGTACATTTGTATGCACCATGTGACAGAAAGTGGTTTTTTTATTGACTAGTGAGGCTCTAAATAAATGTGATTTATGGTACCCCTTTCCACTAAAATTAGCACATGTACGTGGATTTATTAGACACTAGAAAAACCCACTAAAAATAGGCTGTGACTCCTTTCCCATTGACAGTGGACTAGAGCTGTGTACACGGCTCCGTTGCAGATGAGGATGCCTTTCTGTTTTTTGTTTTTTTTTTTACTGGTGTGTCACATTTGCTGCAAAGGACATGCTGGAAAACGCAGTGTTTCCCATTCCCGCCATAGTTTAATTTGACCCGTTTCTAAATAAAAGATTTAGGCTGCCGAAAGTATTGACTTCTCATAATATAAATAATATCTTGAACGCCGTAGCATTTTGCGCTGATGTGCTCAGGCTGTCAGATCCAGCGCTCGACAGTGTGAGCGTTTCACTCGACTAAAAATACGTGTGTGCGAACTGTAAAAAATATTTAGGGGTACATGTGTGCATAAAAAAAAAATCAGCCGAAGCAGCCTATATTTTTGTCAATAAAAATATATGATAATCTAACCGCAAATGTTGGAGGAACTCCAGCCGCCTTCCCTCTTCCCTCTTCCCCATGTGACACGGTTATGGGCGGTTTTCCAAGCCACTGTCGGCACAATGAATATAAGTCCCACTGTCGGCTGGGTGGAAATAAGTCAAAGGGCTCTAGTTTCCTGGCGCAGCGCAGGGTGGCGAACCCCGCGCAGAGCTAGTTTCGAGCAGCGCAACCCGGGGCACGCTCAGTTTGGTAGTTTGGCAGACCGAGGTGCGCTGAGATGGGTTTGGTGGCGCAGCAGGGGGAGGTGTCGACAGATCCAGCTTGGCACAGTGACAGTGTCGTGCCAAAAGGCTTCGCCGAAGGTGCGCTAAAAGCTCGCCATCTGAAACCAGGTCTACTGTCAGCGCAGGGGGAGCGCAGCCGGTGTAAGCCGAAGTTTGGCTGAC